ATGGACAAGCAAAGAACCAAGTGTCGTGTGGCAATGCGAACGTGCTCGACCTGTTGCATACGGTTTTGGCTTTGGATTTCGAATTTGGGGGTAATCTTTGGGTGCTACGTTCGACCAATCATGCATTGCGGGTTATGCTCAACTATGGCTTGGTTTTAGCTTGGAAAAGAAGCGCACGGCTTTTACTTTGCTATGAGCATCGGGAATGATATGTGCAAGAATCACGAAGATCATGAAAAATTAATCAGCCAAACAGTCTTCAAACACCGAGCCCCAAGGCCGAATAAGTGCGATATGAAGCATGGCTTTTTTCACTAGTATCTCCAAAAAAGCGCCAAGTATCCACAAAGAACCCTACATTCACTCACCAATAGCAGTAATATAAACCCTGTTTCATCACAGCAGTCTCGAAAGCTAGCCCTCAAGCGCTAGTGCACACTTTTACCAAGCGAATGCTTGCATCGGGCTCACAACGTTCCTGATGCCCTTGCCTTTCTCCACACCAATATATGCAGAAGAATATCGTTGCCAGACATGCTCGCTGACAGACAGCCATTGCTCACCCTCGACTGTTTTGTCGTCTGCTCTCAATCAAGTGGCAGTCCTGGCAAATGATGCGTTGCTGGCTGTCGCATGGTAGTGCAAGTGTTTCTTCCGCATCTATACATGGCCAGGTTTTGAAGGTGGTTGTGGTAGTAAAACTAGTAGTACGAGTAATCGCATGAATAACTAGCGATCAAACATGAAAACTTGCAATGAATAAAAAACCTAACAATGAATACTTGGCACTACTTGGTATTTCGTAGCTAATCATCGTAATCAGAAAATAGTAATTAGCATAACTAATGTAGTGTAATTAATGATGATTGGCTGCAGTTGACATGCCCAAACCTGAAAAGAAGCGGGGCAATGCCCGCAGCACTATCCATCATACCAGGTCGCAAGCAATCAATACGGGAAATGTTCAATTGGTTCTTTTGCCACTTTGGGGTCCCAGGTCTACACATAACTCGGCCCAATGTTTTCCGAGTCCTGGAGCTTTCCGATGCGGATCCTGACGATTTGCCTCCACGTTTTCCGACCCCGTTTTCCGATCGGCGTTTGCTCCCTCTCACGCCCTCTCTCTGGGGCGCCCTGGCTTTCTTGCGGCAGCGCGCCAACTTCCGACTTCAGCACGGCCTGGTCAATCTGCGCGACCTGGCTGTGAGGAACTGTGGAGATTTCGTGCTTATGAGGTAGGGTCTCGGAAGTTCAGAGCTTAGAGTTTATGGGTTCGAGGGGGCTACATCCTTGGCAAGCATTCGAGGCCCTTAGCACATCAGGCGACAACTTTTGGAAACTTGATGTAAACCCTCAACTCATTAAGCAGGTCCAGAAGTCACGCTGCCCTACACCGCTGATGGGGATGGGTTAGCTGGTGTGTGCCCTAGTGAGACCTTGGCTCCAGGTCATTTGTAGAACAATGTCCCGCGAAGCCCAGTAGAAGCCCGCGAAAGCCTGCATCAGGCAACGCCTCGGCACAACGCTGCGTTCCTATGCAAGCTGCTGAATGTATGGGTTGTGTGCATTGCTGGGGGGCATGGAGCTTAACTAAGGCTTTCGCATGGTTTCCCCAACCCCGCCCGTCCCACCCTTGCTAAAGGCTTTAGGCCTGGCATCCTATCGCATTTTCATATGCAAGACAGACTCTTGTGTCATATGTTTTTGGCGGCTCTTGAGTCATATATTGTTGGCGGGCGCGGTGGTTGCCTGGAGCTTTTGGAGTGCTTGAGAGGGAGGGTGGGGAGGGAGGGGGGGGAAAGGGAGGAGAGGAAGGGCTGGGTGCTAAAAGGCGATGCGGGTCATGGCACGCACGAAGCTCGAAGTAGCCGTGCGGGCAGAGCGGCCCGAATCAAATCTGAGGTTGGCTTGGTGCTGAAAAAGCGGTGCAAGCCCTCAAGAAAGTCTAAGTTGGCTTGGGTTGAGATGTGTGCGCACTAAAGTTGAGGTTGGCTTGGTGCTGAAAAGCGGTGCGAATCAACAGCACGCGTGAAATTCGCTGGGGGTTGAAAACTGTGCGGGGGAGCGGCGTGCACCAAATTTGAGGTTGGCTTAGTGCTGAAAAGCGGGTCAACAGCCCTCAGGAAACTCGGTCAGCAGCCCGCACGAAGTTCGAAGTTGGCTTGGTGTTGGAAGCCATGCGTGCGAACTGTCCGCCCTAAACTGAATTTGAGGTTGGCTTGGGTATGCCTTCCGGGAACATGACCCAAACAGTGGTATTTACAGCGGTGTTGCGTCTCCATGCGACATACTGCACAAGGATGTTTGACGCTTCGAAACAAGACGAGCTGTCACAAGTATTCATGCCTTTTGTGAACATGTCGCCAAAAGACTTAGCTCTGCTCCCGACTGCAATAGTTTCTGCCTCGACAATGCTTTTTCCTACTCACTCATCTAAAGCTTTGGTTTCGTAGCAGACGCAACTTCGATGGGCAACCTACACGCCCACACCCATATTGTTAAGCCTTTCATGGGTAGGTTGTGTAGACCAAGTCATGCGACATGTATGCAGCCATTTATTGAACCGAACCGTGATGAGTTCTGTGCATCTCGGCTTCCGTGATGACTGGCTTGGGTGCCCAAAGAGTAGTCGCGTCTGAACCCCTCGGCTCACTGAGGCCGCGGCGCCATGGCCGCTGTCGCAGGGACCCCTGGCTGGAGCTTGGAGAAGGTGGCCACGGCACTGACCTCGGTAGTTCGGAAGGTCCTCGGTAGCTTTCAAGTTGTGTGACTTTAGGTGATAGATTGAGAACTAGGAGTTTCGGGCTGAGGATCTTGCGAGCTTTCACTGTTCCCGAAAGCTTCAGCGAAGGGTTCTTCGGAGAAAAAAAACGTCAACCTACCATCACCACACTACCATCACCACAGTACCATCACATCACTTCCGCTATTAATTTCTCTCTTATTTCTTATTTCGATGTGCGCCCGCGCGCCCTCTGCGGGGATCGTGCGTGTCGGAGCGCTCCCGCTGTGCGTTTTTGCGCATTTAGATGTGCGCCCGCGCGCCCTCTGCGGGGATCGTGCGTGTCGGAGTGCTCCCGCTGTGCGTTTTTGCGCATTTCGATGTGCGCCCGCGCACCCTCTGCGGGGATCGTGCGTGTCGGAGCGCTCCCGCTGTGCGTTTTTGCGCATTTCGATGTGCGCCCGCGCACCCTCTGCGGGGATCGTGCGTGTCGGAGCGCTCCCGCTGTGCGTTTTTGCGCATTGTACAACTTGCTTCGCACACCCTCTGCGGGGATCGTGCGTGTCGGAGCGCTCCCGCTGTGCGTTTTTGCGCATTTTGCAACTTGCTTCGCACACCCTCTGCGGGGATCGTGCGTGTCGGAGCGCTCCCGCTGTGCGTTTTTGCGTATTTTCAAGCGTGGTCGTGCACCCTCTGCGGGGATCGTGCGTGTCGGAGCCTTGGCGGATGCCCGGAGCTGCCTCGACTTTTTGTAGTACAAATGTAGTACGCCGCGGACGCCCGGAGCTGCCGTAGCTGGAATAGTCGACTTTTCGTAGTACAAACGTAGTACGCCGCGGACGGCAGGAGCTGCCGTAGCTGGAAAGTCGACTTTTTGTAGTACAGACGTAGCACTTGTAGTACAAACGTAGTACGCCGCGGACGCCCGGAGCTGCCGTGGCTGGAGAGTCGACTTTTTGTAGTACAAACGTAGTACGCCGCGGACGCCCGGAGCTGCCGTGGCTGGAAAGTCGACTTTTGTAGTACAAACGTAGTACGCCGCGGACGCCCGGAGCTGCCGTGGCGGGAAAGTCGACTTTTGTAGTAGAAAGTCGACTTTCTGTAGTACAAACGTAGTACGCCGTGGGACTCGAACTCCGCGGCGTCGAAACCCTCGCAAATATCGGCGCGGAACTCTGGGGCTTCGAAAGGGTCGCAAATACCGTGGGCGCGGAACTCTGGGGCGTCGAAAACGTCGCAAATACCGCGGGCGTGGAACTCTGGGGCTTCGAAAGCGTCACAAATACCGTGGGCGCGGAACTCTGGGGCTTCGAAAACGTCGCAAATACCGTGGGCGCGGAACTCTGGGGCTTCGAAAACGTCGCAAATACCGTGGGCGCGGAACTCTGGGGCTTCGAAAACGTCGCAAATACCGTGGGCGCGGAACTCTGGGGCTTCGAAAACGTCGCAAATACCGTGGGCGCGGAACTCTGGGGCTTCGAAAACGTCGCAAATACCGTGGGCGCGGAACTCTGGGGCTTCGAAAACCTCACAAACACCGTGGGCGCGGAACTCTGGAGCTTCGAAAACCTCGCAAATACCGTGGGCGCGGAACTCTGGGGCTTCGACAACGTCGCAAATACCGTGGGCGCGGAACTCATGGGGCTTCGAAAACGTCGCAAATACCGTGGGCGCGGAACTCTGGGGCTTCGAAAACCTCGCAAATACCGTGGGCGCGGAACTCCGGGGCTTCGAAAACCTCGCAAACACCGTGGGCGCGGAACTCTGGAGCTTCGAAAACGGCGCAGCAAATAGCGCGACGGCTCTCGTGTGGGCGCGCAATCATTGCGGATGACATCTTGTCCTGCGCTCATGCAGAGCTATGCTTTGATCTGTTCACAACATGGCAGCAGGCGCCTCAGGCCATGTGGGACTTTTGCATGCTGGCATGTGTACGTGGTATCACCCCATTGCCGTCATCGCGCTACCATCGCCTCAGCTATACACGGCCTCTCTACACTGCCTATTCTATTCCATCTTCTTTGCGTTTCGCGTCCTTTTCGCTGTCGACGCGACACCTGCTTCCTATCCTACTACACCACACCACGATCACCGCACTGACAACACAACCAACTCTACGTGTCAGTTGATATCTTCGCACTGATTGCTTTCGGGATAATCGGTGTCTAGTTTTTCAAGCTTCATGGCCTTTGAGCGGTGATGCTGCTTGCCGGCAACAAGAACCTGTCTTGCCGATTCCTGCACAAGATGTCAACATAGGACTGCCAACGTGAGCTGGGACTGCGTCGGAGTGAGAAACCGAGCCAGTGGATTGGCTTCACAAGGCCTTATTGAGCCAGTGGCCAAGTGCAAGATCAGCTGGGTCGTGGCCTTCACAAGATCCTGGATCCCAGCCTGGACGACGGAGTTGTGGAGGAACCCATGTGTGATCTATTGATTGTATCAGTCTGACAGGTTCTGCTTGGCAGGGGGCCTTGTGGGCCTGTTATTTAGAAGACAAGAGAAGATGGTGTCACGGTCCGATGTGTGCCACTTCGTTCATAGTTCATAGGAATCGGCGGGACTGGGGGCCCGCCGACACGCGGAGTAGTATCAGTTCTTCGTCTATGTACGGGATTAGCCCACTGGTCCTGAAACCAGATGTGCACATGATGAGGTTGCAACCAAATCAAGCGGAGGATTTGGCGGGACATGTGGAGCACTTGTCACACTGCCCATTGGCCCTTTCGGTCTTGTGGAATGCCTTCAGCCTCAGCGCCACACCTTGAAGAAACGTTCTCGTTTCCCGTACGCCCCAGATCTCAAAAAGGTTCCTAGAAACAAACCCCACGAGCGCACCTGATGCTGCGCGGCCAACATGCCTGGAATGGCACCTTCGCTTCAGAAATGTGCTCTCTAAGAGAGTTTTAGGAGGCTTAGGAGTGCTGGGGGCTCTGGAGGATCCTGAGCGCTTTTGGGAGTAGTGGGCTGCACCCACATGAACTTGATTGCATGCCCCAAGCCATCCCCAAACCCTAAGCTAGGGTGCTCATCTTCAAGAGCCCTGTGGAGCCCAGAATCACCCATCTCCTGTAAAATACAGACCCGCCCCCAAACCTAAACACCCGTAAGCTCCAAACCATTCCAAACCCCTGAAAGCTACAGCAAGTCTAGATGCCGGCCAAATCCCCAAACAACAAAAGAAACATCAAATGCCCCTGGGATTTCTTCAGAGATCCTTTGAGGCCCCCCGCCCCAGGCGGCTTCCACGACGGCCGGCGGCATCTGCGAGGCCATGGCCGAGACGAGCCCGGGCCTGGGTGCCAGGGGTGTGGCAGAACAGATGAGATGTGTGTTTTCATTGTCTATATGTATATGTATATTTGCATATGTATATGTATATGTATATGTATATATATATATATATTTTTTTTTTTTTTAAATACATATATAAATACAGAAATACATAAACATGTAAAAAACGAATAATTGTTTTACTTCTTGCAGTTTTTGGGTTGGGGTACGTCGAGGCTTTAGGACTCAGGGAGGAAGGTGCGTGGGCGAGAGAGCAACGTTGAAGCTCGGTCGAAAAGAAGTCAAGAGAAACCCTTGACAAGTAGTTGCGGCACTTCCGGCTGTACAGCCCTTTGTTGGCATGGCCCCAAAACCCCACGGCACAGGAACGGACCTTCCCGCAGTATATTAAGGGTTCAGAGACTAGAGCTCACACCCCGCATAGAAGAAACTCTCGCAATGCTTGTGTCACAACGCTTAACCGCAAGCCGCCGAACCCTAAAATCATGAATTGACCCTTACACCCGCTGGCCCTCCGAGGTGTGCATCCTGAGCCGCCGCGCACAATGATCATGCACAGGCCGATGCAGGCGGAGTGTTGGAGCAGGTTCTGCGCCTTGTCCCAATTGGGCTAACGGGTAGGGCTCTATGACGGATATAGGGTCAGAAGCAACCCTCATGCTGAAGTATCCGCATGCTCTCACTCGTGACGATGAGCTGTCTCAACGGCGACTATGAAATGCCCTCACATGCTGCCCGCTCGAGAGGGCTTGCTGACCCACTGGCGGCGAAAACATGCAAACAAAACGCCAATGGTCAACAAGCAGACTCACCGGCGGTGTTTTTAGGCCTTAAGGCCTAGGTCTCGCAACTAATGATCTTGATCATCATCTGGATGCGTCGGGTTTCTCGAGACAGCATGCTCCATGGCTGCAGCGAGACGATTCAGTTTCACGCAGCAGCACATAGGTGTACAACTCATTGGCCGGCAACAGGCCAAACATAGTATCACAAGCTTCTGTGCACACCGTGAGGTTTTATGATCTTGCAAAGTGCTGAGCTATGCGCAGAAGCGAACGGCGCTGTTATGCAGGCTTGGCGTTTTGCCCTTTCTTTTCCACTCTGGCAATAGTGCATTCCGCGCGCCGTGCACGCTAGCCCTTTCAGGCTGCTGCGTATCTGTCATGATGAGAATTTTGTTTATTTGAATCAGAAGCGCCTTCGGTTGAAACGGCGATCTCACAGAGAACTCTCAGCGGTGCTGCGTAAGGTTTACGTCGCCCCTCCAGCACCCCAAGCCCAACAATGAAGGTTAACATCCTCCGACAGTAAGGGTATAAAACTCACTCGAAGGGGCTTCAGGGAACACAGGCGCAAGCGAAGACGTGCCTTGCACACGTCCAAAACACCCCGAAACCAAGTCGCAGGTGAAGACGACACAAGCGAAAGCGAGCGTGGATCCCTAAACAACGGAGCCCTCGATCTGAAAACGTGCAAAAGTTCTCGGGGCTGAGGATCCTGAATGGCATGTCCCACCGGAAACCATACCCAGGTCGAAGTCAAGGCTAGAGATCATAGGGCTCAGGAACTCTAGGCAACCACATGAATCCACGATCGAAGGTTCTCAAACGTGCATGTTGCACGAGTCCCTGATGTTTGACTGCTGGCTGGATCTCTGTTGCTTTTGTCGCCAATGAACTGAAGCAGTGGTGGGCATGGGTATATACATGCAAGATGGCATGTGAAGCAGCAGCCTCAAAACAAACGTGGGAGAAGCCACGTCTGCAACAGTTAGCTGCTGCTCTCTCCTGCGCTAGCTTCTCAGCTGGCAGATCTGCCCACACAAGCCCGGAAGCCTCCCCAGAAAAACAGAGGCCCTGTTGGGTGCCAGGCGGAGGATACAGCGGCCTGCGCCACCTCCAAAAGCAAGAACTGTTTCGCATTCTGAAGCATTGGGGTGTGGAGCCTCTCGGTGGTTGGGGCACATTTGGCCTCAAGATTTAAGGCTTCAAGTCTGCTGACCCGTGCTGGACACTCATCCCCGAAACTGGGGAACCTGGCACTCGAGGTTCTCTGGGATGCAGGGTGTCGGAGGTAAAAAAAGAGTTCCCAACCACTAGAGGTACGAAAACCTCGACAGTCCCAAGCCAACCTTGCTGCTCTGATGGGACCAGCCCATCTCAAAGAGTGCTTGCAGCTGCGCCAGGCCTCATGACATGTTCTGCATCGTGCGTGTCTCCAAATGTTGTAATCTCTTCTTTTTTCGTGGATGGTTCTGAAACAGCTACTCTTGAAGCGTCCATACTTGCCCATTTCACACGGAAAATTTCCCAGAATAGAGGGCACCCCTATGGCTATGATTATGTTTATGATGATGACTATTATTATTAAATCAAACAACTATTCTTATCATTATTTTTTTTATTCTTCTTATTAGTACTATATATATAACAATAATAATATCTATTTTTTAATCGCATTTTTAGCATTATGTTCTAATTGTTCTTCTTCTTCTTATGACCAATTATCATCATTGTTTTTGTTGCAAATCTAAGCTCTTTTGCAACTTGTCACATAGTTTGTGCTCAATCCCGCTTGTTCTGACTAATTCGGCATGGGATACGTGTGGTGCGGCTTATTGAGGCTTATCTTCTGTCTAGTGAGGTAAGTGTCCACAGGGGAGTGACACTGCCTTGCAACGACCTGAAGCAGTCCTAAGTCCCACAATCCGTCACGCCAAGCCTTGAAGGTCAAAACCATACAGTCAATCCTTCGCGCTAGGGCTCCTGGCATCTCTTTACCGCGCCCTCAACTCGCTCCACCGTGCCGCTCGTGGCGAGGGGCTCGCCGCCTCCGTTTGAGCAAAGCATGCGCTTGCACGGCCGTTGTGTACAGGAGTGGCTGGGATCCGCGTCGACACCGCTACGGGGGGTGCAAGTGTGTGCAGAGTATGCCTTCATTCTTGAACAACATCTGTATCACCGCGTTGTCTACATCTCCCATGTCCTAAAATGCCTGCCGCGCCCGCCCTTGACCCAAAGGCCTAAACCTTTCCCTAATTTGATAGGAGCATCAGCGACAGGCCTTGAAGCTCATCCTCCGGCAGCTCGGTCGAGCAAAGCCTCTGACTGTGCGGCTTGCGCATCAGTGATTTATGCGTACGTGGTGTCTTGGATCCCAAGTCCCTCTGAAATTTCGGCCAACACCAACACCGTGCAAACCATGGCCACCAGCCTCAATCGCCAAACTGATCACTTTCCCCTGCGCATTGCCATTCTTCGTTGCACGTTCGCCGGAGCCTTTATGGTCATTTCTCAAAATGCTACTCCTCCAAACTGTGCCGCGGAACGCGTGTAGTTGAGGGGCCGCCTCATGTCCAAGAAAACAAACCGCTTCCCATACAGGAGATGAGCAAGTTGTATGTTCGCATCGAATACAGTGGGGCGGAGGCATTCTACAAAAGACGCATAGAGGGTGACCTTGGGTATCAATAAACACGCAGCTAAAGATAGTACTAAATTCCAAACGTGTTTCAATATTAGGGGGAAAAGATTTGAGTTGAGGTTGAAGGGTTGAGGTTGAAAACTTGCGATTTGGGGAAATGCAACCCCTAGGCCTGCAAACCTTCGGGCCTGCGTTTGGTGACCGAGTGTCCGGGAAACCCAGGTTCGTGTACATTTTGCTTGCGCCGTGCTAGTGCTAGCAGCCGCGCCCCACGCGCCAACACCGCGCTTCGCTGGGGTGGTACTTTCCAGCCCCCGAGCATGCCAAAAGCATGACTCCATTTTGATTCGGCTTGAAGAGATTGGGTTCAGCCCCAAGCCCCGCCCCCCCCCCCCCGCCAACACCTAGTTCCCAACCCCTCCTTCTCGACTCGAATAAACAAGGCTTTGTCTTTGCTTGAGCACATCCTGTCGCTTTTGGATACGTTTCAACACAGGTTATCTGGGCGGCCATCATTTGTGAGCTGTGGCTCTTCCCACAATTGGCCTTCCATGGCAGATGGTACAATGGCAACTTGGGGCCAAAGGCCTACATGCTTATTCCTCTGTTCAAGCATACCTACACTTCTTCGACTGAGTGCTAGCGCAAAGCTTGCGCTGAAGGAGCTGTACTGGGGGGCCGCCTCGTAACCGAGACATGAAATAGATATAGATCATTACATTTCAGTGCTTGAAAGCACGGTTAGTAGCGTCACATCAGAACCAAGGAGCCCAAAACCGGGTTCTGGATGAGAGAAGAGGAGGGTGGAGCATTGGGGGGGGGGTGGGGGTGGGAAGGGTGCCTATATATTCTGTGGCTGCAAGCCTTCTTGTGCGAAAGCAAGTGTATCCAAAAGCTACCCTGAACCCTAGGACCCCGTATTGGCCAAGAAGCCGCAGCACGGAAGCCATCGAGGTGACGGCTGGGACCAGCCTCGGGGAAATGAGGGCAAAGGGCAGCTCATGGATGCTCTTGGAAGTTCGTGTCGTCGTCGCTTTACATGCCTCTAGAGCTATTCTGAAAGCAAACGGCCTGGTAAACTTCGTCAACTTCCTAAGAGGGCAAGCCAAAAAGATCTGGCTTCGTCTGCTATGTCCGAGCACCTGGCGTGGCAAAGCCGTACACCAAGTTTCGCTCTTCAGCCTCGTGTTTAGGGAGCTTTGGCATTGGGTTTTGGCTTCAGGGTTTGAGCAACGAATTTCGTCGAGTATGGACCGTGCTTCTTGTCCAACGTGATACAACTTTAACACATGGCCTTTAGCCGGTTTGAGCGCTCAGTTGTTCACACCGGCTAAAGGCCATGTGTGAAACTGTTTCGCTTTGTGAGCCACTCCTTAACGCCAAGTGCCTGAACCGCACCCCTTGTACACCAGCCGATCTGGAAGTTTAGCACGCCAACGTGCCAAGGGTGCAGCGGCTAAAATCCGAAAGCGCAGACATCTTGAGGGTTGCGAGGACTAAAAAGCGAGGCTGCAAGCCTCGGACAGCGGCGTGTCCCCAAGCTTCTGGATGAGGGAGCTCGCCCTGCCAATGCTTCGAGGCATCATGCAGCCTAGACACATGACTGGTCTTGGCAAGACATTCTTGTTCTTGAGCCTGTCGACTAACTATCCACACCCTACAGCTCAAAAGCAACCATATGAGGATGACCTTCTTCCGTTTGGATTCCTCGGCTTCGTCAACCAAACCTGTAAATCCTTTTTCAAGATGCGGGATTGGTTGGTGCTTCAGGGTGGCTCCATTAATTTCAGTTTTCTAAACACCAGGGACTGATCAACACAAACAGGGTCTGGTGCATCATCCGAGCTGCAGCTTGTTGCAGATCATGGCAAGGTAGAGCAGCTGTCTGCGAGCCTGCTGCGCTATGGTTCAAAGGCAACAGGGACATTGAGTTCAGGTTGGAACTAACATCGACCCAAAAAGACCAAAAGGCAACAGCTTTCAAAGCTTATGAACTGGGACCTTTGCGCTCTCAGGGTCTTGTGCAGAAGGTTTGTAGAGGGAGGGGGAGGGGGCGGGGCCAAATCGCGCAACCACTTGAGCTGCAAGGCAGAAGCTGTACATGCGTCGAACATGTTCCTGGAACTACCTTTCGAAACCCAAAGCCAACACCAGAAGTCAACACCAAAGCGAAGTTTTGCATTCAAACAAACGGTAGGCTGCTAAAACATCAAGTCCAAGCGGCCCGTTGTGGAGAAGGCGAAGCTGGAAGCGCCGCAAGCAGAGTGCAAACCTTCGGGACAGTGCAGCTCGCAATTAAGCGGCGAGCGCCTCATTTTTCGACACTCGGTCTAACTCGCCTGCAGCAACCTTCTTGGGTTCTTTGCTTGCGGGTTTTCCATCCCCTACTCCTTTGATGGATCGTGGCTTCCTTCCCGCTGTTTTGACGGTTCAGGCCTGTGAGGTTTAGGGTGTCTAACTGTTGCAAGGAACGCCGGGGTGGCCGGGTCCCAACGACTGGAATCCACAAAAGATACAGACATCTTCGTGTAATGGGCATACACACGGAGTTGAGTACCATGCTGACAATCAAAGTCTCTTGACTCAAAAATGCCGAATGTTGCGACAGATTTTCTTAGTGGTTTCACCTCGTCTCCGCACCGTCTCAGTGCACCACTCCTGCAATTAGGTCCCCTCTCCGAATACCAGATTCGCAGGAGCAAATGTTGCATCCAACAACATTGCTGAGCTGCAAGAGTTGATTGAATTCCTTGATTGCCTACTTTTCCATTCTGGCCTCCGTAAAACAGCGGGTGCTCAGTGGGGCACGCGCACAAATTATTGAAGCCCTTGCACGGCTCCCAAAAAGTGGAAAACTCAAGCTAGCTCACTTCCAAGTATTTCGGAAATATTTCGGAAATATATGTTCATGCTACCAAAGAGTCATTCGGCCCTCGTAAACTCATGCTCGAGCGATTGCTCTGCTCACCTCGTTTCCTCCGTACCCACGCCTTGACAATATGTAGAAATATCAATAGACATACGCAAAAGGCAAAAAAAGGTTTTCTCGTCGTCCCAAGAAGCTTGGACATGTCCTTCGGCATCCAGACTCGCATGCACAAAAACAAGGGACCTAGTCTTCCAGCTGCCCTTGGCCCGAACTCCTGAAAAAAAAGACTGCTCCCCACCACGATTTCGGAGCCCGGAACCGAAATCCGTTCGAGTTGCGCAGGTTTGGTGAACATTCTGTTCTATCTCCACCGTTGCGCCACAGAATGTGGGCATATGCAGTCAAGCTTGGACAGCAAACTTGACACCGTAACGGAGCTTCAATGGACGCGGATGGCCTGCTTCCAGTACTTCAAGGTCGTGGACGGGTCGTTTTCGACCTGAGTGCCAGAACGCCAAATCCAAACTTTCTTACCCGCCTGAATACACCCCGAAGAACAGTGAACAAACACCCCGATGAACTTTCAGACTGACACATTAGGCGTGAACACGTCGCGAACAGATGTGATGAGGCCTTCGAGAAGCTTTTTCGTCCGATAAGAAAAAGAACATTCGTGAATCAACGCCAAGTTTCAAAAGAGAGAAATGTCAACAACACCCAAGTCCAAGATCGTTGAAAAATCCAAAGAATGTGTTTCCGTATCCAATGGTTCCAAAAGCAAATGCTGTCCAGGTTCCACTCCCGGAACGTAGAGTGCTTCGGGCCTCCACAAGCACGGTGCCTGCAGTTTCCGCAGTCCATTCTTCAAAATGCCTTCTGGACACTTTCTGGAAATCCCCTTTCTTTTGAACTCGCTAGCCTGCTGATCGACACCCAACTGGCCAAACCGGTCCTCAAAGCGGCATTTTATCCACACACGCAGAAGGCACAATCGCATTCGATTTGGCAGATGAGGCCTTCAACTTCTTCTTGCTGCTCAATTTTGACAACACGTTGCGGGGTTTGTGGGGTGATGAACCTCCTTCTTCAAAACAACTCTTTGAACTTAAGCTTCAAGCTCAAGCAACAACTAACTGTGACACGTCGGACAGAACACATCGCCGACAATTGAACGGTATGAAGGGACCTAGTATGATGTGGCAGAAAAGTTTGTTCGAATGCAGCAGAAGAAGCAGCAAACCACGGCCAATGTCAGTGCCACCGGCTGCCACAAAGCCCAATCGGTTGTATACAAGGGTTGTCGGAGGTCTTATTTTCTAGTTCACGCGGTTTTCTTATCGAACTCGTCCGTCAACGGCTTCCGAGTTTAGCTTTTGATTGTGCCTCGTTTTCCGAACGTGTTCCTTCTTGTTTTCTGACTTTAGATGGTCTCTCTGATTTCGACCTGTGCTCTCTGAACCCCTTCACTCAAGAAAGGACAGACAGATCCCATGCACGCGCGCACAAAGATTGACACCGACAGAGAAACGCCGAGACAGGTAGGCGCTGACATGAAGACTGTCCAGAAGTCTCTGAAAGGGGCCCTGCCAAGCGCTCTGGGAACGGCGAGAAGAAGAGCAGCCACAGCCTTCCACAGTTGGGAAGTTCGGAGGGCTTGGAGACTGCTCTTCCGGGGCCTTACCTTGTTGATTCTGTTGTGGGGAGGTGGGGTGGGTGTACGGGTGGGCTTCTTGAAGATACGAGGTGCTTAGCCAGAAGCCCCAGCCACAAAACAGAACAATGCAATCCCCAGGCCCTAAAGCTCTAAGCTCTAAGGCCAGACTGAAGGCCCCAATGCCTGAACCCCATGAAGCTGTGAAACCGAGGCCCCGTCCATGGGTCGCTGCTGGAGCCAAGGCCCTTCAGTGCCCCTCGGAAGATATGATGGGCACTGGCTTGACGGGTAGCTTCTGGCTCATTTGCGGGGATTGTGTGCGGATTTGAGGCTTTCGGACCGTTCCAGCGTTCCGGATTCAGCACCTCAGGGTGGAGAACTCCTGTTGGCAGGTGATTTCAGAGGATCGAAGTTAGTCGTCAGACGAAAAATGGATCCCCGGGTTTTTGGACTTGGGACAGCTCTATACAGGTCAGGGAGAGCCTCTCCTGGAGAGACACACGCACACACGTGCACAAACGACGATCGCAGCGCCAGGGAAAGCAAAGCACCGACAGGGCACATGAAACACCGACTAACCTGAGAATAAATGCCCAGCTTGACTTGACTCAGTCCGACATGCTCATTGATGAGTTGGATCTTGGTTCCAGGGCTTAACATTCAACGATGAAGGTTAACTTAGCCCACAATTGTGCACAGCGCCTTCTTGAGGTGTCTCGGCCAGAGCAGCAGCCTTAGCTGCAATCTTGCAGTGCATGTTTTGGGATGCGGCGTTGGAATTTGGGCTGAGGTATTCCTCTGTGATTCTGGGTATTCTCACTATGATTCCCCCAAGCCACTCAACTGCGCAGTGAGTGTTGAAAAAGAAAGCTTGCAAAGTAGAAGACCGGATAGGTCTGCTTATCAATGTCCTAAGCAGCTGTGTGGGATAATCAAAGATAGTGCGAGAGCGATAAGTAAGCTTAGCTGTTGAGCCCTTGAAGCCACCGTGTTGTGCGACAGTGGGCTGTGCATACAATACATTCATAAAAGAGAATGAAAGTATTGCAAAGAGAGTCTGAGGTTCAGAGATATATTGGCACGTGCTTTGGTGGGTTTGGGGAGGTTGTCGCTTGTTTGGGGATTGTGAGGCTTTTGATTGCATCATGAAGAAGCGAATCTGCGCTGGGGGTAGGCTTCTCGAAGCAACTCTCTAAAGCGTGACTATAGCCATCGCCCTTTCTCTTTGAAGCAGAACCTAAAGCCTAAAACGCCCAGCTTGCCGGGGGTCCATGCCATGAGATCATCCTCGACCGCCTCCTCAAGGTCGGTCTCGAGGCCTGGGCATTGAGGGGCTTGAGAGCAAGATTCGGCGGTGATTGAACGAGTTAAGTTCTCCAGACTGGGCCCACATGGACTTGCCGCCTCTTTCAGCTCATATTCGGCCCGTAACCTGGCTGGACACATGACCTTGCACTCGGTGCTACGTCATGAGCGACGCTTTTGCACTGCCGCCAAAGATATCTTCGATGGGAGTTCTGCGTCTGATAAAGTACCTTTCCCGGAACGACCGACGAATGCTCCTGGGCGTGAACTCTGACTGTCTGCGAAGCGTGTCCAGGCGTGCCAGCATCTTCCTCCCTCGCTTGAAAGATGTTGAAAGCACACTGGCATGCATCTCCATCGGACGAGTGCAATGTGCCCACCCTCCTCGGCAACTTGGGTCTCACAGACATTGAAGCGTGTTTCTTGTCCAACGCTCTCCCCGACAAAGCGCGCCTTGTTTGCTCCCGACGTGCAAGCAACTTGTCCACAACTGGGGCTTGCTGTGTACTAGGCTCAAGCGGAATCTAAGCCTCGATCGAGCTTGCATACGAGGGTGTGCAAAAAAGTGCGGGGCCGGATGGGCACTTGCATTTTTGAGGTCATGATAGGCCAGTGCTCTAAGCCTCAAGCCCCCAAGCACCCGGCGAACCCAAGACTTCAAACCCAAAGCGCTTGAGACTTCTCAAATGTCCAAAGGCACTTGGCGCAACCTCTCAATCCTGCATCTCTCCAAGTGTATAAGCCGGCAACCCCCAATTCCCACAAATCTCAGGGTTCCGACTCCTTGGGAAAGCATCGGAGAGCCACCAAAGCAAAACCTCTTTCTGGGTGCTTATGGGTTTTACCTCAAGTGGCAGGGGCTAGCAGCAGCAGTAGCCGCAGTAGCAGTAGTAGCAGTAGGTAGTGGTAGTGGCAGTTGCAGCAGCAGTCGTGGTGGGTGGTGGTGGTGGTGGTAGTAGCAGAGCAACAGAAAAAAACTTCAGGTGCACCTGCTGCGGGTGCAGGTGCGAGTGCGATACGGTTGTTTTTCGCTTGGGCTTGGGCTTGAAGAAAAATCGTTGACACAAACGAACACAGGCATTTACACTCTTTATACAACATAGGCACAAAGGATGTTTGATGCTTCTGGAACAAAACACGCTGTCACAAGCGTTCATGACTTTTGCGAACACGTCGCAACATTGGTGTCTACAGCATTTTTGCCTTCTTCTACATCATACGCCGCAAAAATGCTGCTTCGCCACACGTCAAGGCCGTCTTCGAACATGCCCAAGACACTAGGATTTACAACGTTTTCTTTGTACATTCAACGTCGCTAAGATGTCGGCGGGCAAAACTGGCCAAATATGACGACGTTTCCAGCAGTTTTGTTTCGCTGTATATCGCCATAGGGCTGGACGGCTCTAGAAGATCAACGAACATGGCGCTTCAAAAAGTAGACATTCCAAATCGCGCTGTTCGGCCAAATTCCAAGGCACTGAAAACTCCGATAGTAAACTCAGCGACTGCTTTGCATGCCTGAGGATGGCCCTTGGTTCATGAGGTGGGGTCTGGGTTTCGGAGTACTCGCGAATCACACGAGTAGTTTCTCCACAACCAGAAGCCCCATACCACAACCAAAATCCCTCTACCACAATTGCAAACCAGATCCTGCTGCATTTGCCATCAAGAAGCCGAGCCAGAAGGGTCTTTTGGTCAACAAGTAGTGCGAATGAGGGTTTGGGGTGGGGTTGGCAGTGAGTCTTGTGAAGGTGTGCAGTTTGAGAGCTTACGGCTTACGGTGGACAGCCAACTCCTTAAACTCCTGAAGACACATGCTGCGTCACATGCTCCCTAACACATAGAGCCTCTAAAGCCATTGGGAGCTGGTTCGATGCCAGTTCGCCAGAGCTCATCGATGCCGACACGATCTTGGCCCAAATGCAGATGTGGGAGCCTAACTCGACCCAAGAGTAACCTAGCAAGAAAAGGGTGCCCTTTGGTTTTCATCTGGGCTTCTAACGGAACCTAAACCCTAAAAAAGGGGAAGAAGGGCCTCATCTGGGTCCTAGTTCAGCCGCTTCAGATCGACAGGTCAGGAGTTGAATTGATTCGTCTCAACGTTTCCGGCCACTCAAAACGGTGGAGGGCCTGTGGGCCCCGCACAAATCCCGGCACTGTCAGATGCACGTATAGAGGCTTGACGTTTCGGCCCTTTGGCCCTTCTAGGCCCCTCAGCTTTTGCACACACCAAAACTTCAGCAAACACCCTCCTCCTCTTTGACCTCTTGAGCCCTTTTGGAGCCCCAAACCTGAGAAAAACAACAAACCCCAACCTTTGGTCTGGACCCCAGCTTTAAAGGCCTAAACGCCCTAAATGGCTTCACTTCTCAAGCCCAGAGCACTTGGGGTATCCGACATTCGGTACCTTGTTGTAAGGGAATCCTTCTATTTGGGGGTCCCTTATTAGGGGTACTATTTCGTAAACCCCCACTTGGACAAACTTGGCAGCGGGGCATGGAAGGCATATGCACCCAGCGTGGCCCGGCCCTGGGCGCCTCGGAGAAGCTGGAGCCAGAGCCAAACAAAAAACAGCTTGGGCTCTCGGATCTTTCAGTGCTCTTTTTGTCTGACTTTTGGGGATTTGAACAAGGTTTTTGACAGTGAGAGAGTGTGGGGGGTGCTTGGGGTATGGAACTGCTTGGTCATGGGTTTCCGAGCCTTGCTGCCGAAGGTTGCTGGTTTATGTCACCTCTGCCTGGTACTTCTGGGGTGTAGGGTGCATAGCGCGTATGGTCATTCTTTCTTTCTGTCCTTTTTGTCTTTCTTTCCTTCCTTCTTTCCTTCCTTCTTTCCTTTCTTCTTTCATTCTTTCTCGGGGCATGGGGAAGTCCATCCCCGCACGCTCCTGCCCTCCCCTGTGTTGGGGGTCGTCGCTTCGGGAGCCATTGGGCACAGGACCGGCATTACTCTCTCAAAGTCGCGCTTCGATTCAACAGATCAGGAAACCGCTTTGGTTGCAAACCCGGACAAGACACCGGCAACTGAAGAACCCTCAGCTTAACGCTTCAACCCTGGCCCGGCTTGGAAACTCAAGGGCACCGAACCTTCCGTGGACTCGGCGCAAAGAGCTTCCAGCCATGGCACCTCTGCGGAGTCCCTGGCAACGAGGCTTCTCTCTTTTCTCTAACGTGACGCGTTGCTTCTTTCATGTGGCTGCAATGGTATTTCTTGGGGGATTTTTCTGGCTTAGGTGTCTGAGGTTTGGCGTGTTGGGATTGCCTCGCGGGTAAATTAAGAGAAGAGAGAACAACGGAGAGAAAGAAAGAAGTAAACGAATGAAAAACGAAGGAAATTAATGAAAGGTGTGTTGGTCGTGAAAGAGCGTACTAAAAACCCCATTAAAAGAGCTCTCTTGTCCGCAGCGTTCTTGTCTTCGTTTCGTTCACTCACGCACCTCGTTTATTTGTTCAGCTAATTCACTTCATAAACTGGCTTGTTCATTCTCTTCGTCTTACTTCGTTCATTAACACAAAATAATATTATTGTTGGGGCATTTTACACACGCACGAAATGAGTGTGCGAAATAAGAAAAGCCCCAATTTGCTTCGTTCGTAAGTTCGTGCATTTAATCTACAATTCGTGCGTCACTTTGTTCCTTTCAATTGCATATTTTAATTCATTCCCTTATTCTCCCATCCTGGCTGTTACCTTCACGACTGAACAGATTCACTCCTTTCAGAAGGCGAACTGGACGATGCCTTGAGTCGTCTGGACGTTGGGGGTGTGGGGCTTCTTGGCTTTTGTACGCGTTGAGCATTCAGGGCGCGTCAAGGGCCTTTCGAGGCTCTTCCTTGTCATCTCTACGTGGAACATGTCTTCAATGTTCCTTCCTGCGCCCGCCAGGCAGCAGAATCGAACAAACCTCAAGTTCAAGCAAAAGTTGCTAGTGTGACAAGACCCGGTTTACATGTTCGACAAATCGGTTTGCGAGAAACTTGCAGGAGTCTGTGACACCTGCTCTTCCGCTCTTGGGGGCCTTTGACATCGTGTCGCGCAAAATAGGCCCCAAGACTCATCAAAACCTTGACAGCCCTAAGCCCAGTCTTTTGTGGCGAGGTCAGACGTCCACAAGCATTCAAAGCAAAAGCGAGGACAGTTTCGACAGTTCCACATTTCGCGGCGAGCCAGACGCTCAAAATGCTCCGATTTTGGACAGTTCCCAGATGTCCAACAGGGATGACAATTTCGCGTCGGGCGATAGTGCGATTTTCGGTCAGAATTCGAGTAAAACGCGTGGTCCGCAGCAGGCACGCTGGCAGGCCGTGCCGCGCATCGACCCAGCCCCTCTTTCTCTTGGCTTTGGAACTCCTGCGCGTTTGACGAAAGGGCTTGGGGAAGCACTCTATCACTCTATGCATCATAAACTGATCATGAGCAAGTAGTGGTGTCCAACAAACATTTAAACAAAGACACCCGAGCCCTAAAGCCCTAAAGGATACATTCCTGAAACTTTCAGAGGCCCGCAACCCTATTCCCCCGAGCCTTTAAGCCCTCAGAGCATAAAAATCGCCTTCAGGTTTAGACTCTTCTTCCTGACCCCCAGGTGTTTCTTTCAGGACCCGGTCCTGACAGTTTTCGTGACTAATTGTTTGTTCCCCCTAGCCTTTCTGACTCATCTGCCTGAATGCCTCTACAAGTGATTCAGCGCTTTCACCAATGGGTATGCATTCCTGTAAAGGCCCTAACCTCACAATCCCAAAGCAAGGAGCCTTGCGCAATGCCTTCCAATGTTCTAAGGCATTTTGAGCGTCCTGTGTGGTTTAGGCTCGAGACAAAGGGCTTCATCAGGACAGGAGCTACCTATGAACCAAAACTCAGCCCCCATGCAACCTAAACTGCAATTTCACATCCTGCCCGGCGAGGCCCTCATCCCTCCATGGTGCTCAAGGAGCGCGCCTCGTGGAAGGATTTTGCTGCCTGGAACCATGCGACGAACGAACAAGATACAAGGAACCGCTTCAAGTCCTCAATCCCAACCACAGACCCTTCTTGAAACCCCGGATTGGTTTGCGGTTTGAGCAAAGCTGGGGGTCTCGCGTTTCGGCACCCGCAAGGATCATGAAATGCTCGAGCACGAGTTTTCACAGTATTTCTTGCTGAATTGACCTTGTCGTATGGTGCGACGACGATAACGTGACAGTGCAGACAATCTCTGCCCGACAGATTTTGCTAGCGCTTGGCTCGCTTCTACGGGGGGCGAGTACCACCCTCATGGTAGTTTCCTCGTCCCGCCATCCGTGGGAATGCTGTGATTCGGTTGCCAAGCATCCAAGGACCCATGTCCAGCTTGACAATCGGTCCACGGGCAACTGCGTGCCTCCTGGTCATACGCTGAGCATGGCTCATGGAACCATGCACCGTTTGGTAGTTCCACCCATCCTTGAAAACAAAGAGTACACTTCATGTGCTGCTCACGATCATCTTGAGCGGCCGGTACCTACCCCCCCAAGCGTCTATCTATGAGGGTGCGGGGGACTCTTAGAAGCTCGAGTGGTGGGCTCGGGCCACGCGCGCATGATGATGATTAGATGAGAGACAGGTTTGGTCGTGAACCACCGCCCAACTTGGTGGACGAGGCCTGCACTGCCTCTGCACGCGAACTATTGCAGCACAAATTTTGGTGCATGTGTGGAGCCGCAAGCCCTCAAAGCCCAAACTCAAACCCTTAGAAACCTCCCCCCAACCTCCCCCCTCCCCGGGGGGCCTCCGAGCCCATAGGGCCGCGGAGAGGGAGTGGATCAGCTCCAGCAAGTCCGGGCTGCGAAGGGCTCTAGTGGGGGAGGTAGACAACCAGCTTCTGGAAGTTGAAAGGAATTTTGGGGCAGTTCGGAGCGGTTCTTTCGTGACTTAGGGCTGTTGATGGTCAAGCGCCAACGCATGGTATTGGCGGCTAGCTGTGTCAGGGTTTCTAGCGAGGGCTTGCAAAGCATGTCTGTAGGGAAAGCTGCTCACCTCCCCTCTCAGCCTCTAAACCTTTGAAGGCCTTATCCTCAAGACCTCAGCCCGAAGGAATCCACGCAGCACTAAAAAGCCCCTGAAGCCCATGAAAGCCCATCAAAACCCATCAAGGCTTCAGGAAACCCGACCAAGCCCCCCCCCCCCAATGCCCTGTAGGCCGCCAACAGGAGCAGACCACACTTCGACGGCTCCAGGAAGATCTCCTTCCACACCTCAAGCACGCCCCTAAATTCCCCCCTGGTTGGGATGTTCCCCCTTGTACTAGCAGCTCCTTAAAGCATTAGTGATTCTAGTCTGCTATGATCCATATGAAGGACTGTGAGTATCGGGGGGAACATCCCAACCCTTTGGCAGCTGTCGGCTCAAAGGCGCATGGTCCCCTAAACCCTCCGCCCCGGCCTTTTTGCAGGACTCCATCGCTTTCAGGCCATAAAAAAACCATGTTTGTACCATGGCCTGGACGAATTCAGCTTTCACCTTTCGGACCTCCGTAGCCAGCCCTATGGACTTTCGATGGGCCCCTGTGGCGTTTACCCTCGGGCCGGACTCCCATCACAATCTGAGGCGGACTCAGCGGGCTTAGCACATTTGGGGGCTCATCGCAGGAAGTGGGTGCGCAAAGTAGGTTTATGTCTAAGCCCAACACGCAGGCCATCACGTCCATGAATGTTGCCAGGTTGACGAGGGCCTCCACAGCGTCAGGCTGCCCCCTCTGAACTCGGAACAGCAAAGCTAAAGCGCCGGCTCCGGAAACTCAACCGCAACTTCGGCAAGCCCCTAAGCCCCAAACGGATGAGGCGTTAAACAAGACAAAGCTATGCCCTGCGCAAATCGAGTGGTTCACTTCAGTGGCTGATTGGGGTGTTGCCGTTGCGTCGCATGGAGGAACTTTGCTTTACCCCAGCAACATACTTAGCCACTCACCGCAATTTGGGTCTGCTCACGTCTGTAACACACAACGCATGAGTCTCCCGAAAGCTATTCGCTGGGCTTTTGTGGGCTTTGGTTGAACCGGCACGAATTCAGGAACCTTGCGTTTCAGTTTCCTCAACAAGCAAATCAAAAGAATTCAGATCCGCTCCATGCCTCGTGATATCTCGTGATGAACTGCAGCTTTCGTCATACAGTGAACTTCCGCATTAAGCTCAGGCACTCATGTGGGCGTGCGAGGCTTTCGGGTTCAGGAAACATGTCGGAGCAGGATGCAAGTTCTCTAAGCAGATGCCTACCTTGGGATCTTTGGTTTAGATCGCGGGGCCTAGGGGTCCATCTTTCGTGAGAGGGGGTCGAAGTGTCAACGGTGTTAAGGGTATTCCTTGGACTTCAGCCTTCGATGTGCAGTTGCGCAGTTGCTTGTTGCCCTTTTGCGAGGCTTCTTCATGAAGATATGTGAGGGCACACCGCCAGCCTCGCCCGAAGTCGTAGCAGCCTCGAGCAACACGCTGCTGCACAATGTTAAGCTCTGCTGGAAGCTGAAAAGGGTTTGGCTGAACCCAAACACTCTCCATCCAAACCAAAAATCCCAAAGAATTTGTCTGGGGTTCGAGATTTCACACGTCCTTTTACAAGGACAGTTTCGCGAATTTCTGACCCTGAGAGAATGCGGCTCAAAATACCGAGGACTAGTGCTGAAGTGCAGGCTACTTAACTTACAACACGACTCCAGGGTTGGTGTTGAGGGATCGTGCAGCCGCGGCGCCGAGATGGCGAGGATGTGGCGGATCGTCCGAACAAACACCTGATCGTTTCAACCCCCAAACCCAAACCTGCCGCAGAGAACCTTGTCGAATTGCTTGCTGCACACTACCTGGGCATTAGGCTTTCAGAACTTCATTTTGCTTGTTCACAAAGACCCAGCACGACAGCAGGCAGCAAAGGCTGGCCGATGGTGGTTCATGCTATCATCAGAGTTTTGTGGGCCATGCGCAAGAGTGCTTGAGGGACATGGCCGTGCACTTGGACCTTCTAAGTTTTGGGCGGCTTCTTAGCCACAAGCCGACAAGGTCGGGCGGAAGGCAGTGCAGCTTTCGAACGGTCTAGATTTTCCGAGCATTTGGTAGTGTTCAGGGAGTATGGGCTTGGGGTCGCGTGTACTGAATGCTGAATGGGCCTGTCAGGGTGGAATGTCGATGCTTGGTCAAGGTCTACAGGAGCCCAGGGGCGCCAACAGCACCTTGAAAAACGAAGTATGATACGCACAAGCCATCGAGTCAGAGCAGGGGGGAAGCACATCTTTCTCCAAGGGAGAAGCATGACCATGATCGCTGCTGAATGGCCAATATGGCCCTGACAATTGCAGACCTTGACAACTTTGCCTTACAGCTAAGCTTGCTGTTTAGTCCTGTTTTTCTAGCTAAGCTAGCTGTTTAGGCATGTTAATTAAGTTCAAGAACCTTTCCTGAATCACTAGGTGCAGGGCTCGGAGGTCGGCGACAGGTTCGGCCAAATCAGAAGCGCCCATGAGAGTCACCACGATACCTCAGCAGGAAGAGGTGCCTGGGTGTGGTTGTGGAACGAGGTAGGCTTTAAGTCTCAAAGTTGTGGGGTGTATGGCTGTGTCGAGCCCGCCACCGAGGGCCAGTGAAGCCAGCTCCTTGCTGAGCACCTCAGGGCTCGAAGCCGAATCAGCCTGAAGCAACCCCTCAAACACGTGTAAGACCTAGCGGACATTCTTGAAATGAGGGTGGCGGAACCCTCCCCACACAAACCAGAAACCCCAACAACAGCGACAGGTTCGTAAACTTCAAGCCCATAAATATCCATCGGCCCAGGCTCGGATATGAAACAGGATTTGCATATATGTACCTAAACTACACCCGGAACACTTTCACTTTGCCCGTGAGAACGGGGCCCAAGAAGATGCCGCCGCTGTGGGAGAAGACCTCGCTTAGACCAAGACAAGCGTTAGCCCAGCAATTAGTTCTTTCCTTTCAATCACTTTCGCACGAAGGATCGCCGGTGCGAAGCTCTTTTCGCTTTTTGAAATATTGCATATTCACTGCAATGTGGGTGGTTTGGGGTACAAAACGAATCAGTTCAAGTTCGTATCCATGAAAGCAGTCTAGAAAATCAGGCTGCCGCGGATGCAGCCCAACAACTCTGAAACCCTAGTCTCCCCTTCCCCCGCTGCCTCGAGCCTTGCGGCGCATCCGCGCACAGCGCGCAGACCTATAGGATTCGCTTGCATGTCTGAAGCATTGCGGGATATAGATGTTTTGGCATTTGGGCGTTTTGGGGCTTAACATTCGGGAAGTTCTGTGACACCTTCTTTGCTTGCGTTTGGCGGGGCTGGTTGGGGATCATGCATACAAGAAAACAATGCGCGGCAGGTTTCAGAATGCTGTCTCTGTCAAAACATTCAACACGCTCAAAGAGAGGAGCCAGGCTGAGCCAAGGCTGAGAAAGACATGGTATCCTGCTAGGGACTTCCTGCAACTCACTCACGACGTCCAGCCTGAAAAAGGCGCACAGCTGTAAACGGGCTGCATTGCAAAACATGATGCGGGCCGCAAGCTGCATTAAGAAAGGTGTGCAATTTTGTTCATATTTGATCTTGGCTGTGTTTCTCAGGATTTTCAATCATGTCTACATTTCCTTGAAAATTCAAAAGGTGACTTGTTGGAGGCAGCTCCCTCCCTTTAACTATTTGAATATACTTTGATTGAGCTCCTAACAGTTCGTTACGACATCTGCAACGTCCGAATTAGTTTGCGACCTTGAATGTATGAGTGCCTCCATTTAGCCGCTTGCGTGGCCATCTGTCTGCCCTTACCGGCGAAACCTACCGAGGCGAGAACGTGACGTGACATCGCTGCTTGACACAGAACTCCTACAAAAGGTCCTCTAGGGCCCCCAGCGCCCCGCAACAGGGAGGGCAGCGCAGCGCGGAACAGCGGCCTTGGAGGATCGTCCGGAACTCACTGTACATGTCAGTGTTTCCGGCGGCGCGACGCAACTTCTTCCTAGCCTTTGATTTCGCCGGGCAGCATCAAACCTTGCACCATGTTTCTTCATTGGGTTTTTCCTTAGGCGTAGCTCTTACGATTTTTTCCGGGATTTCTCTTCATCACGGATTCGGGTTGTGTTGGGTCCTCTGCCTGTAGGCTCGTTCTGCCGCTTGCAGCCTAATTCCCTCGTAGCTTTCACTGCTTGGCAGGCTCTCCCTCATGCATCCCGGGAAGAGTTAGGGTCTAAAACTTCATGGTTTTATTGCTGGGCATTTTGTTTGGATTGAAGAGTGGAGCTTGCACTATTACGCAAATGAGGCGGAAGGCTTGAGCTTGGTGTTGGTGGGAGCCCAAGCCCCCAAGAAGAAGCCAGCACCAGCACCAGCACCAGCACCAGCACCAGCACCAGCACCAGCACCAGCACCAGCACCAGCACCAGCACCAGCACCAGCACCAGCACCAGCACCAGCACCAGCACCAGCACCAGCACCACCACAACCCCCACAAGCCCCACAAGCCCCATAACCCCTGCAACAACCACAACCCCTGCAACCCCCGCAGCCCCCGCAACCAGCGCAGCAACCAACAGCTTTTAGAAGCGATGGCCCCATTGCCACCCTAAGCTGTAGCAGCCCCGGGGCTGGATGGCTTTGCAGTCGGCGAAGTTGAAGCAGGCAGGCTGGTAGGTTTTGACCTGGGTACCCTGAAACCGGAAGCTGCACATCCCAACAAAGCATCTTAACACCTCTGGACACTTTCGTTTGAAAGTCTCTTGTATCATGTGGGGCAGGAGTGCACCCGTTCTGGCAAGCCGGAGGGGAGGGATGCATCGGGCAGACTTTGGGCGGGCTGTTCATTGAGGCTGTTCATTCAGGCTGTCACGGTTCGGGAAGCAGGCGTTAGCCAACGCGGGCCTTCCAACCACAAAGGATCCACTGAGTAAACTTCACATCGTGGAACCGTGGAGCTGAGTTGTAGAAACCATCAACGCCCAACTCCACAATCATACTCGGCTACTCGGCATCCCAAAGCTTCCCTGCGCAACCTCTGAAACTCCAAAAAAAAAGACCTACGAGAAAGATGGAGAAAGTGAGGAGGACGCGTTCTGCAAGGGAAGTCCAGCCAGTAGCACCGCACCATCGCGCAAGGCCAACTCCTGAAGGCAGCGACAGCCCCATCATGTCCTGCCCTCCCCCCCGCGTCACAAGCAAAACTTGGCCAAGCTCCCAAACCCGAAGCCCACTCAGGGTGTAGAACGATAAGCTCAAAAACAGCCCCCAACTTTCCGAACCTCGACAGCCCCCAAAACCACAATCTTCAGTCCCCAGCAGTCTGAGTCTGGGCCCCTGGCGATCCACCGTGCGAGATCCTTGGCGTGGGAGCGCACCGCCGCCTGCTCCTGGGACTGCCTCGGGGTACTTTGCAGGGCTTGCGACTTCAGGGGGCCCTTCGGTCGCTCCACGAAGCAAGGGATGTTCCCTAGTTGAAAAGAGTTGTGGGGTTTCAAGCCAGACGCCAATAGCAAGAGCTATTTCGCGGTTTTTGGCTCCCCTCATGGCCAACTTATGGTTCAGATTTTGCAAGTCCAGGCGGCCCCGAATCGAGCACGGCGCTCGCGCAGCGGAGCCGGAAAAGGAACGATCCTCGCGTGGAGTTGGTGATAAGTTTCAGGGAGCGTTGGTTCCGGGATTGGGGCCCGGCATGCAGGATTTAGCCTCTTGGAAAGTGGCATGTCTATTGAGGCCTGGGATTGCAGTTGGGCAGTCCTATACCTCTCTTGATTTTCCGGCTTCAGGCCCCACAGGCCCTGAAGCCTAAAAAGCTCCGCCCCCTCTCCGTGCCTCGAAAAAAGCATCCCCAAGTTGCAATCACAAACCACCAACAGTCACTAACACCTCACGACAGAGCCTGTGGAGGCCGCTTCGGAGAAGAGCGGGTCGGGCTCGAAGGCGGGGCCTCCCGGGCCGGGTGTTTGAGTTGTTTGGGGGTTTTCGGCTTTCCAAATCTTCGATTCAGCAGCGGCTCGGGCTTGGGGTGTGTTGCGTGTGTGGGGCTCGGAACTTCGATCAACGATCAACTCTTCACTCTGAGCATGACCGTACAAAGTGGCTGCTCTTGAACGAAGTCGGCTGATAGAAAAGAAGTGACCCGCCCTCCCCATAGCTGGCGTACTTGTGTCAGGAGCTTGCTGCACATATTGCTTCGCATTATCTGAAATAGATGTTGTCCAGATTCAAACCTGTCGTGGCTCGAAACCCAGGGGCTGGACTAGACCCTCAACCCAGTAGGACGCCGGACTGGCAAAGGGCTGCATCAGTAGCGCGATGAGGCGCTGAGACCTTTCGTGGTGTGGACGTCAGAAAAGAAGGCGCAAATTCAGTTTCGGCTTCGACCCCTTATCCCCGCCAAATCCAAGATCCTCAATCACAATCCCTGAGCCGCAAGTTCCTAGATTCCAAAAAGCATGGAACCTCAGCCCTGAAAACAATAAGAGACTCCTTCCGCACGCAATTTCTCTGAGATCGAGACTCCTGAAATCTCGTAAGAATATCGAGTTCCAACTCCGGAGCTTAAACAGTCGACCCACAATCCAGACCACGAACCCACTCTTCGGCCCCAGCAACATTTCCAGGTCTCTGCAAACCCAACTGTGGTGAGTTTAAGGTTTGGCCGCTTGGCCCTTCAGATTCCCGTCCCCTCGTTTTTCGGAAGCCGGATGAGGTCGCCACGACGTGCATGCCCGCACGGCGATGACGTCGCCTTGTCTTCAGGTTGCTTTGGTTTGGGCTGCATGGTTAAAGACCTCTGCCAGACAACACAGCAGGTCTGTAAAAACCCACCAATGATACATACCCTCTGCAACAAGGTATGCCGCGCGTGTGGGCCGCGGACTTGTTACAAGCCAAAGGTATTGGAACACAATCCGAGACAGCAGAGAGGAGTGCACAGCTGTGGTTGCAGCCACATCGTCCAAAAAGCCGAAGAAAGAAAGTCGAACGAGCCGGAAGCGGAGGGTGGAGCAGGTGGAAGGGTGAGGCCAAAAGTGCTGGTCCGAAAGAGTGGCAACTAGGACCGGACCACGCGGCCCAGGCGATAGCCAGCAAGAAGCAGCAACTGCCAGTCGCCGGGTTCGTGTAGCAATACACGCAAAGAGCACTAGTAGCAATGACGCCTGAAACATCGAAAGTTTATCAACAACCTACGAAACCTGCACGTATCGTGGTTCTCAGCATCCGCCTTAATCCTGCTGTTTATCCCCGAACTCTCAACAAGTCCCAACCACGCCCGCAATCCGGCAAGGGTCAGCCCCAACGAGCCCTGTGAACTGTGCCGTGGGCGTAGCAGTTCGAGTGCAAGCCGCACGACCTTCACACCCACAGTTCAAACCCAATCCCCCAAGTTTAGAGTTCCCATGTTGAACATCTCTGTTTCTGAGTTTGGGGTCTTCGTGCTTAAGGGGCGTTCAGGGAATGGGGCCAAGGCCTTTGGTGTCTTGGGTTTCTACAATTGGAATGGGGCTGCAGCGTACCACCTGAAACTCGAAATCCTCCTCCAAGTTCCAGAATCGTTGTTCGTGGGCTCAGGGGTTTTGTTTGGATACAAGCCGGTTTGTGCATGGCTGCCCTTGGTTGAGGCTTTGAGAGTGTAAAAAATGCGGCGGGTTTTGACAGGGCCATAGGTGCAGGTATTCGTCCCCAACCTGACAACGGGATGATCCCCCCTTCTACAATCCGTCGGCCCGAGCCAGCAACTCGAATCTCATTCTTTTGGCTCCTGTAGTAAACTGTAGTAGCAACTCATGTTGGCCCACTGCGCGTAAGGAGCGCACCGACGGGTTTGCAGAGGCCCGCAGATTATGGCCTCATAAGCCAGGACAAAACCAACTCTTGCTTCGGCCGGAACAGGGCCGCAAGGTTTGGGTTTGTATTTTGGCTTGCAAGATTCTGTGTTTCCGGTGCGCAGTTGTTGGTACTTTGGCGCATCACTTACCATCTGCGCTGTGGCGCCCTTGAAGTGCCCTACGGAGTCCTAATTCAACAGCTGCCCAGATGCAAAATTATAGTCAAGCCTGGGCCTTTTCCTCTGACTGCTATGCATGGCCGGACTCCAACGCTTCAAATGTGGGGACACTTGAGCGATGCCCCCTCTGAGGGCCCAACGGATGCAGGTGGTTACCTGTGCCTCGAACTGAACCAGCCTTGCAGTGCTGGGGTGTTGAGAGTGCTGTAGTGGTGTTTTCGGGTGAAGGGGTTGAAGCTCGACGCTCCTTAAAGCATGTAAGGTCCTTAGGTGTAGGATTTGGGAAGAAGATGGAACAAGCTTGGCCTCGGGGCTTGGGGTCTTCGGCATGGCTTAGGGCGCTTCTTGAGGGCAAGGGCTGTTGCCGCAAAGCCCAGAAAACCTATCCAGCAAACGCCCAAAAACGGAGGCGAACAAGTCAGGCCACGACTGCTCAGCGCAGGAGATTCGTGGATGTAGCTTTCACACCGGCGTGCTTGACGACGCCACCAAGAGGCTTAGAGTTTAGAGTACAGCTCCAAGAGGAAAAGCGACTAAACACCAGGGGGTTCACGTAGGGCTGCTTTTGTCGTATGGTCCAGGTGTGATACATGGAAAGCTAAGGGGTCCAAAGGATCCAATTTGCTGGTGTTGGACGTCCAGGAGCTAGGAGCTCCTCGCATTCTCAAGTAACTTTCTTTGGAGCCTCAGCGCGCTCCCACTAAAGCCAATGTTGCCGGCATAAGCAGCGAACGTGGACTTCAATGGCAAGTTTGTGGGGACCGTAGAAATTCCTAGGGCACCTTTGCAATCAATCGCCCGATTCCTAACTAAACCCAAATCCAATCAAACCCCGCCCCGAAATCCCACGAAATTACACGCAATCACACGTAATCACACGAAAGCACGCGCAAATCCAACGAAAACCCACTCTACCCCTTGGAAAGCCCTTGACACCCTGCCATGGACTCTGAGGCCACGGGCAACAAGGGGCAGTCCAAACCTTCCACTTGGGCCTGCACCTCAGAGGAGGGGGGGAGGGGGGGCTCGGAGAATAGATGGGTTCAAGAAAGCATGTCTGGGGGTTCATGGAGTGGATCACGGAATCAAAGACGACGGATTAAGCCTCCACCGGGCTCCAGGCGTCCTTGGTGTGCTGAAACCTGCGCACGACCTCGGCTTCAGATAAGCGGCCTTCTGCACGCGGTCGGGCAACTAAGAATGCAGGGTTGGGTCTTTGGGAGAGGGGCCTGAGATGGGTAACGCCCGAGAGATAAGCGCCCGCGGCATGCAAAAGTCTTCTGCAACTGTGGCAAGAATCGCCAGCGCCCTTGGCACTTGCTTTAACAACCTTTTGGATTCCCTCCCTGCGTGCTTGCGTTTCCAAAAGCGTTTCCACGTAGCATGGCAAGAATGACAGGCAAGACTCGCAAGTGGATGGATCGAGGAACCCATACATATTTGAATCAACGTGACCCAGTAGCAGCCGGAATGTTCGTGTAGACAAGACTGCTTTCCCTGCGATATATCCCAGGCCAAATCAACGGAGTTTCAACTAAGTCTCAGCCTCAATTCGAACCCATCAGCCTTTCAGGACCCGGCCAGGAGCATTAAGTGGAGCCCGACAGCCGAAAGCGATGCCTGAGAAACTTCAGAACTGGTAGGGTCGGGCACCGAAATCTCCTTAACGCCGCAATGTCTACAGCTTCGGGATTGGGGTCTCGGGATGTCTATCGTCTGGGGCACTCTGAATCTCCAACTCGGAGGCCTCATCAGAGCTGGCGGCGTTCACCGCGACTCCGACCTTGGGGCACAAACTCCACTTGTGCTTCACTTGGTTCACTTCAGTTCAGACAGTCGGACAGTCGGGTATGTCGGAAGCCAATCACTGTTGTGCTGGAAATGCCTTTCACAGGTGATTGACATAAGTCATTGTAGCAGAGCTCCTTCGTAAAGGTCCTCTGAGTTTTTGGGTCAGGAAAACGAGTACGCGTGGTGACTTGTAGGGTCCAGGTTTTGTTTGGTGGTCTTGAGAGGCGTCATAGAAGCAAATCAAGGTGGAGCACAAAGGTCAGACTTGCCTCAGCAGCCACAACGCCCAAATCCACAACTCCTACACCCGACCATACCCTGTGCACCCTCGGGGGCAAGTTTTGGTCTCAAAGGGCAGCTGGTAGAATTTCAAGGACTGAGAAATTTTTGCAGGCCTTCCATCTCCACCGAAACCCAGCCCAAAACTCAAACCCTCAAGTCTCGATCAGCACGAAAGGTGTCCCGAAAAATCTTCAGCGAAAGCCCCAACGGCGGTTCCCCTACACCGTGGGTCCCCAACCAGAAGCTCGAGGTGCGTCATGAAACGCTTCTCGGCCGGGAGATGCGAACTGCGCAGGAGCAAGGCGGAAGGGGCACAACGGAAACAAGCGCTGCGCCAGGTTCTTCAGACTTTTCGGAGCACTCAACACCCAAATTCACAATCACCCCACTTTGGCCCAATATGAGCCTGTTTTGCAAGAGCACATGTCAGCCAGCGTATATTACAGGGAAGAGCCAGGACAGTACCCGGAAGCCCCAGACCGAAAGGACCCGGCCTGTGCACCGGGCTGGTGGTCTCCGGCTGGAAATGGTCTGGGTCCTCGTTGTCTGGATTGTGGCCAAATCTGGAACATGAGGCTACTTAGGAGTTTCGGAGCTTTAGGGCCTTCAGGGTTAGGGTTGCCGTTTGGGGATTGGGGTCGGGGGCTGAACGATGCTGCTGCTCATTGCATTTTTTTTTGAAGCTTGCGTGCTCTGAGGGCTTGCATGTGTGCAAGTCCGAAGCGCTAGGAACCCTGAATCAGGTTTTGCTAAACCCTGCAGGCTGCAGAACCGCGAACCGCTATACGGCAATTACGAAGCAAACCCACTCGATGCTCCTCTGCCGGAACCATCTCCAGTAGCTGGTGGAGACAGGACACAGCAAAGACCTTAGTACTCATTCCACACATTTGCCGAAGAGCAATTTTACGGCCTTTAGGTGTTTTCTTTTGCTCCACGTGCTGGCAGACGCTGCGCGTAGCAAGGCTCCGATTGCATACTGCGGAGCTTGGCACAAACCAAAAGAAGCCCCCCAAACCAAGGACACAACCCCAGAAACCTTTTTAGGATTCTTCGGGGTGGCCCAAACTTCGCCCCGATGGCCCAACAGTAAACGACTTAAAAAGGGACCTAAAAGGAACCCAAAGAACCCCGTGAAGCCACTTCAAGACTGGGCCGAGGCACTTTCGTCGTGATGCGGCTGCTTTGTTTCCCACCAGAGTCCTTCAAAGATGCTCACTTGATGCTCACTTGCTTAGTTGAGGGGAAAGGGGTCCGACAGCTCCGACTACAACAGAAGCTCTGCGCCAACACAGCGACTGAAACGGAGCACCCTCAGAAGTCAAACAGCGGTAGCTTTACCACAAGCCCTTTTCAACCCAGCATGCCAAGATGATGAGTGGTCGCAAGCCCTGAATCGAAAGAAAGCTCAGCCCAAAATCCCTCCCCTGCTAGACCCAAACTTTCTGAGGGCTGATGGTGTTGTCCTCCGGCTCATGCCTTTGAGGACTCTAGGAGTTTGCGGTCGCAACAATCAACAAGCGATTCTTTGGAAGGAGGCCTAAGATGAACCCAAACTGCGCCCTGATAGCCTACCGATCCCACCTGCTTCGGCCCTGCGATCGCTGCTTCGTCATCGATCTCGTCGGCGTTTCGATCCTGGCGGTTGTGAGATTTTTGCGTCTAGGGACAGTTCTGAATTGGCTTGACCATGAGTGCTAGATCTTTTGTTGTCTGGAACATCTGCAATCTTTGAAAGCTTTCGGCGTACTGATTCCCTGAACTGCAGCGCAGGACCCACCCAGAACCTTTACGCGCGACTCCTTATCAACCCTGTAGATCCAAGCCTCGAACACCAGAACGCTAAACTCTTGAGGAAATGGAAGGCTAGACTTTTTCTCTACTCCTGAAACTCCTAACGTAACCTTGGAGCTAAGGCCAATCCTCGCTGCCCTTGCCGGCCGGGCCGGTCTCCTTCGGTTGAGAGAAGGATGAGAAGGATTTCGGGGGTGCCGCCGGCTTTTGGCCCTCTAAAAAGGCTTCCCGACAAGGCTGGGTTCTCGCAGCTTCGCCTTTTTTTTGCCAAGAAAAAGAAAAACAGGTTTAGCGGGGAGGTTGACAGGGGTCAGGGCCTGCGGGTTGTTGGGTGGTCGTCCTCTTTGGTGCTGGCCGGGGCCACGGCCCCCTTGGGAGGCAAAGCCTCGGTGTTTTCTTGGCTACTGTGACTGGAAAGCGGAGCCTGTGGGCTAAATGCCACAGGGTTGCCTAAACCTAAGAAGGCTATGAACCCAAGAGGGAGATGAGCTGTGGCCTCCGTCGATGTGATGGAGGAAGTATGAAGGCTTGAGATTGCCCTTGGTTGCTCGTCTGCTCTCGCAACTGCTCAAACAAAAGAAGGCACATGAGTGTGTAGAACCCCAATGCCTTCCTCAAGCTTCTTCGCCCCAAGGCCTAAGCCCTAAACTCGGAAGCCCCTCTCCAGATGGTTGCATGGACCTGAGCCTCGAGCCAAGACGACCTGGCGAAGAGCCTCGGCTATGATGGATTCTTTGGGGAAGCGGGTTTCGGCTTCGTGGTTTAGGGGGGCATTCCATGAGCGCTTCTCCTATTTGATAAAGACATCTCACCTGACATGCGTTTCCTTTTCGGCTTCAGATGTCAGTGGGTTCAGGGCTTGTAAAGCCATCATCTGCATGTTAGGGACTAGGGTTTGTCACCTGACATCTGTTTAGGGTCGAGGCCTCCACAACATGTCCTTTTAGAGCATCGGGTTTGCTACCCAACGTGTCGATCTGGAGAGGCTCAAGCCCAAATCTCTAAGCACAATGCAGCACATCTTGCAAACGCATCTCTCAAGCCTATTTTATTGAAACACTCCTACGTAATGCCCCTCGAATCTCTCTGCCTGCAGCCACGTAGGGAGCTCGTTCAGCCCGTGCCTCGGTCCCGACGTGGCTTCTGGCGCTTCTGAGGCTTCTTTTTGGGACTACTAAGGTTGGAGGAGCTGGGCATTGGCGCATTGAGGTGGAGGGGGGTGCTGGCAGTTGCTCACTTGGCCAGCCTTTCCGTGGTCACCCGGAAACTACAAGAATCAGGCGAGCCCTGCCAAACGGCCGAGCAGGATAATCCACTACCTTTCGGGCGAAGGCACACAATGGGTCAACACCTTTAAAGCTCGCGTGGAGCCCAGACTCTTCATCCACGCACCGGCTGGAACGATGATCCTAAACTACACACTGCACAGACGGGCAAAGCCAAGCGGATCGACAACCCGAGCAAACCAGGGTTGTGACAAGAGCAGAGGGCCGACACAAAGAAAGGTGGTCACGAACTTAAGGCTAAAGCCTGGACCGCGCAAGAGGGTTCCTGTTCGCCAAATTCGGAACCCCGAAGCCCCAACTAAGCCCACAGCTTTTTTGTAGATCAGGAAGAATTGGAAGCCTACGAAACGAAGGACATTGAAAAGCCCTCTGCGGCTTTATTCCTCAGACCCCCAAACCCTGTCAAAGCCCCTGGCGCGCCCAGCATTGACGAAATCAGCGCCTGCAAGGCCTCCGCCTCCGCGCCCTCAATTCCAGGCGCTGAAACGACATGAAAAGAAGAGCCGAGAGCGCAACGTGGGAAACGAAGGACATGAGCTGAAGGAAGAAACATGCACGAATTCCAGGATCTAGAACATGCATCGTCGAAGGTTAGCCGATGTGTAAAGCAGAACAGGCATTAAACATTGAAATGTTGAAAACAACCCGACACTACAGGGCTGCATTTTCAGGGCAGGTGTAATCTTTACGTTGAGCGGCGGCATGGCAGTACAGGCCTGTGTTTGAGGGCGCGATCCACTCTCCAGAGGTTCCAAGTGGAACTTCTGCAGAAGAATAACAAAATACAAGACAAAAAGTCCTCTCTCCTTTGGCTATTCAGCGAATTCAAGTCATTGTGAGAAATACGGTATTTCAAGAAAATGCTTTTCAATGATAGAAGCTTACCTGAATCCATATAAACAAGGCTGAAGCAAACAGCTTTAATCTGACATGTTTGCAGCCGAAAACTGCTCTGTATTCTGATAGGAAACCCACCCCCCCCAAACCAACAATGCGAAATCATTCGGGGCTCCCCAAAAATTTACCAAACGGAAACAGCCCGTCGGTTTGGAAGAAAAGGCGCACGGCTTCGCTTATTGCCTCAGCGCTATCTGTCTTGTGTCTCATTCATCTCGATCTTTGACTGTGTTTATATGCAGGACACCCACTGGAAAAACAACGAACCGATGCACAACGAAGCACAGAGACAGGGCCAACCACTCAGTTGTGATTACCAATTCTGCTCTTTTGTGACTGTCATCTTGGGGACGAAATATTTCTCTCACGTATGCCCTTGCGTTGTTTGTAAACAAAAATGTAGCTCCCGCTCGAGAGGGGCCCAAATTTCTCAACCTTTTTGATTTTTAGTGACTTCCTTGTGACTACTGTCGTAGTCACAAGTGAGTCTGGATTTTGGGGGGGAGGGGAGGAACGGGGGATCACTGATGTTCATAACCTTGAGAACTACAGTCAAGTAACGACGAGGACAAGGGCGGATAACAGGCGAGGGCGTAGGTTTTGAAACATTCTAGGTATATTCCTCACTACACCGCCAGATCCACATCGACCAAGGCAGCTCTGAAACCGTGAAATTCTGAAAGAAACAAGGTTCATAGAAGACCCTCACAAACCCCCCCCTCCTCCCCCACACCCACCCACCCACCCACCCACCCACCCACCCACCCACCCACCCACACACCCCACCACACACCACACCCCCCACCCCCACACCCCCACACCCCCCACCCCCACACCCCCACACCCCCACACCCCACACCCCCACACCCCCACCCCCCCACACCCCACCCCCCACACCCCCACACCCCCACACCCCACACCCCCACACCACCCACAACCACCACCCCCCACACCCCCCACAACCCCCACAAACCCCACAACCCACAAACCCCACAAACCCCAACACAAACCCCACAAACCCCACAAACCCCACAACCCCACAAACCCACAAACCCCACAAACCCCACAAACCCCACAAACCCCACAAACCCCACAAACCCCACAAACCACAAACCCCACAAACCCCACAAACCCACACACCACCACAACCCCCACCCCCCACAAACCCCACAAACCCCACAAACCCCACAAACCCCACAAACCCCACAAACCCCACAAACCCCACAAACCCCACAAACCCCACAAACCCCACAAACCCCACAAACCCCACAAACCCCACAAACCCCACAAACCCCACAAACCCCACCAACCCCACAAACCCCACAAACCCCACAAACCCCACAAACCCCACAAACCCCACAAACCCCACA